AGTCAATGCTTTGTTGATCTAGCACTTTTAACCTTAAAGATGCAGTCCGGGATCTTAAGCATATTTTTTAGGACGTAACATATCATACGAAGTGGATGACGTTGTACACAATTGTGCACATTTCTCAGGGACCAGTTTTGCCTCGTGAGCACTACTTTCAAAACGACTGGCTGAAATTATACAAAAGCTCTGGAGCATCACTGTTATTCAAGGACACCAAACATGCTTTTGGCGCTCTTCAAATTTTGTCAACAAACACACCATTGTCCATGATTCAACACACATACCCACTTAAATTAGTTGCTAAGAGACTGCATCACATAAAGGCTTCATAATTCATAAAGGTCATGTTAACTAACTGACATTATCTCATAGAACAAAACGTATAAGATCTCCTAAGTCTGTGTTAACCTCAGGTCTTATTTTCAGCGTATATCCCAAAACTCCATTCTTTCCCCCAATAATTTCCCCCAAAGGAATGGCCAACGAAACAGAGGTAGAAAATGCTAATTCATTTTCTTTTTTTAGGACTACAAACTGGTGAGCTCTATACACATGTATCCCCCCACCCCCTCCTTCCCACCGACAGGACTTGCTTACTTGAGTGCATGTCAAAGTAATGATTTTAAACTGTCAAGGGTTGTAGTCCATATGTTAAAGCTGCAATATGTAATTTTTTGGGCGACCTGACCAAATTCACATAGAAATGTGAGTTAAAATAACCTCTCACTCAATGTCAACAAAACAAAGGAGATGATCGTGGACTTCAGGAAACAGCAGAGGGAACACCCTCCTATCCATATTGATGGGACCACAGTGGAGAAGGTGGAAAGCTTCAAGTTCCTCGGCGTACACATCACTGACAAACTGAAATGGTCCACCCACACAGACAGTGTGGTGAAGAAGGCGCAACAGCGCCTCTTCAACCTCAGGAGGATGAATAAATGTGGCTTGGCACTTAAAATCCTCACAAACCTTTACAGATGTACAATTCAACACACATACCCACTTAAATGAGTTGCTAAGAGACTGCATCAGGCTTCCCACACACATTCTTTCACACATTATCAGAGTTTTCACTTCACTTTTGCTCTACTGTATCTCATTCTTTTTGTCAACACAATAGATGTTTATTATATGCTGTGAAACTGTGTTTATAGTTTGGGTTTAAAACTAACAAAACCAATTCAATGTTGCTAGAGAGAAGAGAGATTGCACAATATGTTAAATCAGACATCATCTTTGAACAACATGATTGTTATGCAACAGCCTGAGCAATTTCAACCCTTATACATGATAGAGCAAAATATGCCCCCCCAGTCCCCATAATCACACATCTTTCATATCCGACATGAGAGAAATTGAGAAATGTTCTAGGTCCTTATGTACATGTCAACATTATGACATTATTAATTCCCTGTCTTTGAAAACATTCATATTTTTTAGCATATGAGAAACTGAACACAAAGTGGAATTAAAGAGAAAAGCAACACCTTTTTACAGTATAAAGAATATAAACATCTTTGAGAAGTCCACTTTGTCCCTATCTTCTCCTTACCAGTCAATTCAGAAACTAAACCAAATTCAAATTCCACATTTTCATCATTGAAAAGCACTGAAGAGAATTGGAATTTCAGTGGACTTCCTGAATTGACTGGAATTGAAATGGAATTGACCCCAAACCTGCTGCTTACCATTCAAAATCGTATTAAAGCTATACAGTAGGTCGCTAAACATCTCATAAATCATAGGTCATAACAAGGAAATTAAATAATGTAAGTTACATAAGTATGCATATGTTTTCCGGGGTCTAAAGCCCCTTATAACACAGTATATGTCACGCCCTGGCTCTGGGGACTCTTAAATGTTGAGCCAGGGTGTGGAGTTTCTATGTCATATTTTCTATGTTGTGTTTTCTAGATCGTGTAGATCTATGTTGGCCAGGGTGGTTCCCAATCAGAGGCAGCTGTAGCTCGTTGTCTCTGATTGGGGACCATACTTAGGCAGCCTGTTTGGCACTAGTCGGGGTGGGATCTTGTTCCGTTAAGGTTTGAACCCCAGGCAGCCTTGTTAACACCAAGGCTATGCTCCCTGTATCTTAAAGTTCAACCACCTACTGCCTTCCAAATGACGACAAGCATCAGGGGAAAATCGCCAGAGAAAATTGACAGATCATGAATACAAATATGTGTGTTTCAGCTTCTGGTGACCTTCAGAACAGCTCTGCACGATAGCTCAGATAAAACTTGTGGTCGACTCTTTAAAATGTAAAATCTTACTTTGGTACGGAGCTTAACCTGGCTGTAGGGAGAAGCCATGTGGTTACTGTAGCCTATCACATGGCTTGAGGTTGTATTTTATCAGCGTTTGTCTTGAAAAAAGAATGCACACCTCAATGCATATTTCATGATGACATACTATATCAATATAACATTACAAAACCTGTGGTAATATACATATGCTAATTTCTATGTATGTACATGTATATTTACTATCATTGTTCACAGGTAAATCTCTAATCGCAAGCTTCATATTTTTGATCTCAAGGAAATAGCAGAAAGAATATAGAAAGGCTGCTTGGCACTAAATTGCAGAGCACTGTCACTACCTCAATCTGAATACTATTCAACAGTAAGTGCTGCTTATCCATGATTGTACTGTATTTTTTAGAGGTTACTGTCATGATTAGCAATATATCATTTTTAAGACATTGAAAACTGAGATTTAGGATAAACTGTGTGTTTAATCCACTCCAAAACCCAGTGCCATGGTTGAATCGATTATCATTGGAAGTGTTATCTTAATACATTGAGGTTTTAATTCCAATTGAAGAGGCTGAACCTATGCCATTTTATCTTTAACTTATCATTTCGGAGTTTATGTTATTTGAATGTACCACCATGTTTACATAACTACAGTCGTGGTCAAAAGTTTTGAGAATGACACAAATACTAATTTTCACAAAGTCTGCTGCCTCAGTTTTGATGATGGCAATTTGCATATACTCCAGAATGTCATGAAGAGTGATCAGATGAATTGCAATTAATTGCAAAGTCCCTCTTTGCCATGAAAATGAACTTAATCCCAAAAAAACATTTCCACTGCATTTCAGCCCTGCCACAAAAGGACCAGCTGCCATCATGTCAGTGATTCTCTCGTTAACACAGGTGAGAGTGTTGACGAGGACAAGGCTGGAGATCACTCTGATTGAGTTTGAATAACAGACTGGAAGCTTTGAAAGGAGGGTGGTGCTTGAAATCATTGTTCTTCCTCTGTTAACCATGGTTACCTGCAAGGAAACATGTGCCGTCATCATTGCTTTGCACAAAAAGGGCTTCACAGGCAAGGATATTGCTGCTAGTAAGATTGCACCTAAATCAACCATTTATCGGATCATCAAGAACTTCAAGGAGAGAGGTTCAGTTGTTGTGAAGAAGGCGTCAGGGCGCCCAAGAAAGTCCAGCAAGCGCCAGGACCGTCTCCTAAAGTTGATTCAGCTGCGGGATCGGGGCACCACCAGTGCAGAGCTTTCTCAGGAATGGCAGCAGGCAGGTGTGAGTGCATCTGCACGCACAGTGAGGCGAAGACTTTTGGAGGATGGCCTGGTGTCAAGAAGGGCAGCAAAGAAGCCACTTCTCTCCAGGAAAAACATCAGGGACAGACTGATTTTCTGCAAAAGGTACAGGGATTGGATTGAATTTCTGAGGACTGGGGTAAAGTCATTTTCTCTGATGAATACCCTTTCCGATTGTTTGGGGCTTCCGGAAAACACCTTGTCCGGAGAAGACAAGGTGAGCGCTACCATCAATCCTGTGTCATGCCAACAGTAAAGCATCCTGAGACCATTCATGTGTGGGGTTGCTTCTCAGCCAAGGGAGTGGGCTCACTCACAATTTTGCCTAAGAACACAGCCATGAATAAAGAATGATACCAACACATCCTCCGAGAGCAACTTCTCCCAACCATCCAAGAACAGTTTGGTGACGACCAATGCCTTTTCCAGCATGATGGAGCACCTTGCCACAAGGCAAAAGTGATAACTAAGTCGCTCGGGGAACAGAAAATCGAAATTTTGGTCCATGGCCAGGAAACTCCCCAGACCTTAATCCCATTGAGAACTTGTGGTCGATCCTCAAGAGGCGGGTGGACAAACAAAAACCCACAAATTCTGACAAACTCCAAGCATTGATTATGCAAGAATGGGCTGCCATCAGTCAGGATGTGGCCCAGAAGTTAATTGACAGTATGCCAGGGCGGATTGCAGAGGTCTTGAAAAAGAAGGGTCAACACTGCAAATATTGACTCTTTGCATAAACTTAATGTAATTGTCAATAAAAGCCTTTTACACTTCTGGAATGCTTGTAATTATACTTCAGTATACCATAGTAACATCTGACAAAAATATCTCATAACATTGAAGCAGCAAACTTTGTGAAGACCAATACTTGTGTCATTCTCAAAACTTTTGACCACAACTGTACATTAAATAGTACCTGGAACAATAGTAAAAAGAACTGCTTACATAGAGTATCCATGAGTATAAACACAGAATATGACCAATTCTGTATGATAAGGCAGCGTCTGACAGCATTGAAAGCAGAGGGTATGAGGTACCAAATTCCAGATAGGGAAAATGTTGCTAGGAGACCTGACATCAGCTATTTATTCCACAATCAGGCAGTATCCCACGTGTGTCCCTGCTCAATATAAAGCCAACGGGATCTCGTCCTTGAGTAGAAGTAGTTTAGGAGGCAGCTTTTGCAACAGGGTTAGAAAAGTGTGAGCTCAACAGAAGTCTACCCTACTGTCAGACCCATTCTAACCATAGAAAGATCCAAGAACTCATCACCACCTGAACCATTATTCACTTGATCATGACTCCCCAATGTTATCTGGACAGATATCAATTTCCTTCTCAGTAGTTAAAAGGGATTTATTATACACAAGTTATCAACCCAAGGCTACATTTGAAGAACTTTGCCTTCTTTTCACACATCGGGATGTTCCCTCCAGACGTGTGGAATTCTACGGACCTGATGTGGTTCAATGCGTCTGAGTTGAATGCTTCTCTGGAGGATTCGGAGGAGGGGGACCACCCGTTCCTGACGGACGCCTGGCTGGTGCCTCTCTTCTTCGCCCTCATCATGCTGGTGGGGCTCATCGGGAACTCGCTGGTCATCTATGTCATCTCCATACACAGGCAGATGAGGACGGCCACCAACTTCTACATAGGTGAGCAAGACCAAGGGGTTTCCCTTACAGTTACAAAGGGTTTTCCACTTATAATACAGTCACTGAACCTCATTGTTATTGTGGATTGTCATGAACTGGGAAGAAACTTGTTCTTTGTGTGTGACTGTTACAGTCAATCTTATGTAAAGTATGTGGTCCAGAGAAATAGTTTCCACTGTAAATTAGGACTAATGACTGTATTTGTCTTTTTATGATGGCTGTACATTGTGGATATATTGTGGATAGTAACCTTATCCATTCTGTCTGTAGAATGCACCTATACAGTACAGTATATATACTGTAGCCTATACTAACAAACAACATATTGAAGGGATCATGTTTCTAAACTAAATAACAGCTCTTGTTTGACATTGGAAATGCATGTATGGAGTGGAGATGTGCAGAATCAATGGATTTTGAAATATTATGGATTGACCATGAAGGTGGACAGCAAATATCTCTGTGCTTATAAATAACAATGATGGTATCAGTGTGTGTGTGTGTGTGTGTGTGTTTCAAATGACTGACTGATATCTCCCTGGGCTGCTACACTGGAGCCTGTTTTTAATATTTAATCATATTTGTTTACTACTTCCACTTCCTGTGGACAACAGCCCAAATGTATTCTCTCACCTCTCAGTTGTTGCTATAAATGATGTAAGTCCATTCAAAAGAGAGCACCATTTTAGACTTTTGGTCCAACTGTGATACAATAAATCTATTTTATTACAACTATACAACTATTCTGAAAGTAACATAAGTCCTATTGTGGCAGATGTCCTCACTATACCTCTGCAGGTCCTGTCCAACTCTATTAATAAGACCTCTTCTCCATGTCAGTGAAACAGTAATATCTCCCATCATTTCAAAATGAAATACTGCAGTATCTTGTGATACATTTCTCTCACATGTTCCATTCAATCCCCCCCAATGTGTATTTATCTTTCTGAATTTTGTGAAATCAATTGGCTCTTTGAAAAATGTATGCACTCACTAACTGTAAGTCGCTCTGGATAAGAGCGTCTGCTAAATGACTAAAATGACTAAAATGTCAAATGTAAATGTAAGCCCATGCCAAAATACACTGATTTGGTGACATGCCTTTGAATTTTATAAAGCAAGTAATTTATTCAAATGATTAACTTTGACTCACAGGTTCAAATGGTTATTTTATGTTGCAAAAGTTTGTTCATCAGAAAGAAATGAATGAGTTCCCTCCTAACTGAGCTTATTTCCACAGCTAACCTGGCTGCCACAGACATCATCTTCCTGGTGTGTTGTGTCCCGTTCACAGCCACTCTCTACCCGCTCCCTGGATGGATATTTGGGGACTTCATGTGTAAATTTGTTGCTTTTCTACAACAGGTAAATCATTTGAATAAAACACATTGCCTCTGGTCACAGACTTCTATCAGTTTTTTATATTTTTATATTAACGATGGCTTTTCTCACCACAATGTAATTTGGGTATAATTGCCCTCAAATGGGCCCATGAGGTACTGTCTTGTCCTATTAGTCTGAAAAACTGTTCTGGTGCCTGGCTGTACCCAATTAAATTACGTAACTGCAATATTCAATATTCAATATTGCAGTGTCATTTAATTTATCCAGTAGAGGGGAGAGGTTCATGATAATTTTTCAACAATGTATGAGCAACATTGTATTTTGAAATGCAACTTGAGTACCAATATGTGTACTTTTCATATTAAAACAATCCGTTTGAAACTCCCAATAAATAAAAATTCAAGGCTTATCTGAGAATCATTCACTGTGGCCCTACTCCATTTGGAGAGAGATCACATTGGTTAAGACTGAATGGTTATGACTCATGACATGTAAGGGATTTATGCAAGTGAATGATGAATCACTGTCTATATAAATAATGTCCTTTTTCCATAAAAAAAAATTGAAACAATCAGTCCATCAGGCTTCTTGCGATTAACCACAGCTTCAAGCAGGTTCGCAAGATTAAAACTAACCTGTTGGGTTGGCAAATGACTAAAGCTCTGAGCATACTGTAGATGGACTCATAGAGTAGGATCCAATCTCAGATGTCATCCAATCGCAGTTTTCAATTTCACCACAGTAAGGAGAGAGATGAATACTGTCAGCACACTGCACAATTTGTCTCTAGACAAGTTCAGTGAAATGCCTTTCTTGCAAGCTTTTTCCCATCAGTGCACTAAGTCAATCAAAGTAGCCAGTAAGTCAATCAAAAATGCCTTTAAATGCATAGTGCAAGGTGCAAAAATAGAATGATGAGAGAGCAAGGCAGAAGAGAGGTTTCAGTATCATGCAGCATGCTATAGTCAGAGCTCTCTCATTTTCACCACATGAACCATCAGCCACCAGGGGGATCCTGTGAGCTTTGATAATACACTATGTCAATACCACACATCTTCTCAGTTAACCATGGCTTTCACTGACCTTGGCATTAGTCGGTTATTTAGCCACAGGATGTGATCAACACATTTCATTGTCACTGAACTGCATATAACTGAACTGAACTCCATTGAAACAGGACTTGCCATTTGAAATCTATCTGAAATGTGTCAATTTAAAGCACGATTCCCCAACTGCTTAAAAAATTAATAAAATAATTGTTGGACATAAAAGACTAGAAATTACAGGAAATCAGCTCCAAGTATTCCCACGTGATTGTATACAAATCGTTGTGTTTTAGTCAAATATTATACCTGTTTGGGCTTCTTGCGGTCAATTTGCAGTCTACAAATTATTTGTCATTATGTTCCAGACCCCCGACCATCCACTTAAGAAAAAATTGACCCGCAGCTGAATCTAGTTGAAAATCCCAGATTCAAAAGAAAATTCCACTCAAAAACTATCTTTTGGTATTTGTCCCTAAATGTTTTTATATTTTTATTTTTATTGATGGGTAAAAAAAAAAATCAAAAAATGAAAAGTTATTCTCAAAGTATTTCACGTTTTTAAAGTACTATATGTGCCCCAAAACATTATCCAACTACCACCACCCATTAACATGTATTTATTTTTTCTCTTCACTTGGCCATAATAATTCTGTATCAAGATCTAGAACTTTCAAAATACAGAACGCATCATACGGTGACACTTTCTGTATTTTGAAAGTTCTATATCTTAAAACTTGAATGCTGAAATGCAAAACATTTTGGGACTGTATCAATAGTGGACCAATGAAACAAATACCAAAAGATACAGTGGCTTGCGAAAGTATTAACCCCCCTTGGCATTTTTCCTATTTTGTTGCCTTACAACCTGGAATTAAAATTTATTTTGGGGGGGTTTGTATCATTTGATTTACACATTTGATTTATGCCTACCACTTTCAAGATGCAAAATATTTTTTGTTGTGAAACAAACAAGAAATAAGACAAAAAAAACAGAAAACTTGAGCGTGCATAGCTATTCACCCCCCTAAAAGTCAATACTTTGTAGAGCCATCTTTTGCAGCAATTACAGCTGCAAGTCTATTGGGGTATGTCTCTATAAGCTTGGCACATCTAGCCACTGGGATTTTTGCCCATTCTTCAAGGCAAAACTGCTCCAGCTCCTTTAAGTTGGATGGGTTCCGCTGGTGTACAGCAATCTTTAAGTCATACCACAGATTCTCAATTGGATTGAGGTCTGGGATTTGACTAGGCCATTCCAAGACATTTAAATGTTTCCCCTTAAACCACTCGAGTGTTGCTTTAGCAGTATGCTTAGGGTCATTGTCCTGCTGGAAGGTGAACCTCCATCCCAGTCTCAAATCTCTGGAAGACTGAAACAGGTTTCCCTAAAGAATTTCCCTGTATTTAGCGCCATCCATCAATCCTTCAATTTTGACCAGTTTCCCTGCCGATAAAAACATGGGGATGGTGTTCTCGGGGTGATGAGAGGTGTTGGGTTTGCACCAGACATAGCGTTTTCCTTGATGGCCAAAAAGCTCAATTTTAGTTTCATCTGACCAGAGTACCTTCTTCCATATGTTTGGGGAGTCTCCCACATGCCTTTTGGCAAACAACAAACGTGTTTGCTTATTTTTTTCTTTAAGCAATGGCTTTTTTCTGGCCATTCTTCCGTAAAGCCCAGCTCTGTGGAGTGTACGGCTTAAAGTGGTCCTATGGACAGATACTCCAATCTCCGCTGTGGAGCTTTGCAGCTCCTTCAGGGTTATCTTTGGTCTCTTTGTTGCCTCTCTGATTAATGCCCTCCTTGCCTGGTCCATGAGTTTTGGTGGGCGGCCTTCTCTTGGCAGGTTTGTTGTGGTGCCATATTCTTTCCATTTTTTAATAATGGATTTAATGGTGCTCCGTGGGATGTTCAACGTTTCGGATATTTTTGTATAACCCAACCCTGATCTGTGCATCTCCACACTTGTTTGGAGAGCTCCTTGGTCTTCATGGTGCCGCTTGCTTGGTGGTGCCCCTTGCTTAGTGGTGTTGCAGACTCTGGGTCCTTTCAGAACAGGTGTATATATACTGAGATCATGTGACAGATCATGTGACACTTAGATTGCACACAGGTGGACTTTATTTAACTAATTATGTGACTTCTGAAGGTAATTGGTTGCACCAGATCTTATTTAGGGGCTTCATAGCAAAAGGGGTGAATACATATGCACGCACCACTTTTCCGTGATTTATTTTTTAGAATGTATTGAAAAAAAAAAAAAAAAACTTTTCACTTCACCAATTTGGACTATTTTGTGTATGTCCATTACATGAAATCCATTTAAATTACAGGTTGTAATGCAACAAAATAGGAAAAACGCCAAGGGGGATGAATACTTTTGCAAGGCACTGTAGTTTTTGAGTGGTATTGTCCTTTAAGGAGTGACAAACATAATGTCACATTACATTTAATAAAGAAATGACATAGTTGCAAATGCAGTCTTATGTGAAGGTTCGAAAATAACTGATGCTCAACAAAACTTCTACACAGATTCTGGTCCTCTGTTTAGATTTTTATTTTCATCAAAAGTACCAACTCTCTCTATGATGTATCTTTTTGGTAGACGCATTGATAACTCACTCCCCCACATATGCAAATATCACTGCTGCTGTACAGTGTGTAAATGGGAGGATTCATTAAATCAAACTTTGCGAACCCATTTTAATATCAGTTGTAATTCTTAGCCCTTTTGTGTTAATATGTTTTAATATTTTCTTAAATCCTTTTTACATGTTCAACCTACACGCAGTGCTTCTCTTTGTTCAAGAGACTCATGCATTCTGTCCCTACATTATGACAAGAGTAGAGCACTTGTCTTCGGATCAATGATGTACACCTGGTCAGGCTCTCTTTTGCACTTCAGTCAGAGACAAGGGCGTTGGATAGATCTCAAGTAGTGTAGTTACTGAACTGGGTCACAAATCCTACTCTCCAACAACATTATGTTGTTTAGAACCTGCTTATCTGTTATCACAGATGATAACCAACTTTCAGGGGCATCAGGCAACCATTAGCATTTTTTTTATGGGGAAATTATTTCAAAATGCATTATGTGTGAAAGAAACTATATGGTTTATACTTTTATCCTAGAAATTGAAAAAAGTTATGGGCATGACACCTAACCCAGGAGGATGAATTAATAATGATTTGTCTTTCTAAAGTTACATTTTCTCATTACGCTCATCATTTTCATTACTTCCCAGTGTGATGGCAGGCAAGTGCCATTTATTTGAATTTACATGAATTTTACAGCATGTCTCTGATGTAAAATTCTGAATATTGTTTCACCTGTGAACAACCCAGAATGAAAGTCATTATTTTGTTCTTCTTTTTTCTTAGGTGACTGTTCAGGCTACTTGCATCACCCTCACTGCCATGAGTTGGGATCGCTGCTATGTCACAGTGTACCCTCTAAAGTCCCTACGCCATCGCACTCCACGAGTTGCCATGATTGTTAGCATCTGTATATGGATCGGTAAGTCACATGCTACCATGCCTGAACCATTTACAAACAATGGATTTCGGCTCAAAGTCTACATTTTCTATAAAGATAAACTAATTCAATGTTTTTCTCTTTTTTAAAGGTTCCTTCCTTCTATCCACCCCGATCTTCATGTATCAGAGGATTGAGGAGGGTTACTGGTATGGACCGAGACACTACTGCATGGAGAGGTTTCCTTCTAAAACCCAGGAGAGGGCTTTCATCCTGTACCAGTTCATAGCTGCCTACCTGCTACCTGTCATTACCATCTCATTCTGCTACACATTCATGCTGAAGAGGTTGGGCCAGCCGTCAGTGGAGCCAGTAGACAATAATTACCAGGTATGGAGAGACTATTACTTTGGGTGTTCCTTTATGACTTAGTTTACAACATAAATAGGTGTGCTTATTTGTCATGGTTACACAATGAAAGCATGAGTTCATATTTGGATCCCTTCCAATTTGCAGGTATACTACAGTATGTCTATAAAGACCCTCAGCCTGTGGCCATGTTTTGAACTACATACAGTATAAGTAATTTCGAAGCCCGTCACAGTAGTAGTGAGTTAACTTCAACATTTCTACTATAGGTCCACCTGTTGTCAGAGAGGACCATCACTCTGAGGAGTAAGATCTCCAAGATGGTGGTGGTGATTGTCCTCCTATTCACCATATGCTGGGGGCCTATCCAACTCTTCGCCCTGTTCCAGTCCTTCTACCCCAACTACAGGGTCAACTACGCTACCTATAAGATCAAGACGTGGGCTAACTGCATGTCCTACGCTAACTCCTCCATCAACCCAATCATTTACGGCTTCATGGGAGCCAGTTTCCGCAAGTCCTTCAAGAAGACTTTCCCCTTCCTGTTCAAACACAAAGTGAGAGACAGCAGTGTCACGTCGCGCACGGTTAATGCAGAAATCAAGTTAGTTGCTGCAGAGGAAGGCAACAACGATGGGAAATTAAATGAGCCATGGGCTGAGTGAGCTGCTGGGGGGCAAAGCTGCTGGGGATTCAGTTCACATTGGCACACAAACAGAAAAACACATGATAGACTGCTGCGAATGCACACTGCTCAACATACACTGCTGTGTACTCACACTTTTCAGAAGGCAAAGACCCCCTGGTGGAAGCAGTTGTTTGTTTGCAATTCTACAAAAGCTGACTGATCCTGCTTTATTCTGATATCACAGACTTGAAAGGACATTCAAGAAATAAAAAATAAAAAAAAGTTCACCACAAAGGCAGAATGATCACAATAATATGAAAATAATACAATTAAAACAAAAAAAGTTATTGGAAGTCAAATACATGATGTGAAATCTAATTGACACTATGGTTATATGAGCAGTCCAAGGTGACCTCAAAATGGGTTTGAGGCCATTTTGTTATCAGATGTACACATATTGTTAACACGTTGTTAACAAGTAATTATCAGTAACCCATCTCAAAGCTGTGAAGTGATTGCACCCGATTGATATATTTTTTCAATGGAGAGATTTATGATGGTAGCTAGGAATTTACATGAATGGCGTTACAAACCGCTCAGGAGTTAAATTCCAGGCCAGTTGAATGGGTGTACAGCCAAGAGTGATGTGTAGAAGCTTGCTCAGGTAGGGGCATAGTCAATGAGGCGTGGTGAGTGTTTACTTTACTACTATGTTCCAGACACACACGTACACCTCCCTTTACACACAGCACACAGGTGGCGGGGGCCAGGCCCTATCATACTTTCACTGGCCAATCCTTACAACCCTTACATTCCCACAGCATTATCTTCTGTGACTTATAGTCACCCGATCGTTCCCATTTCCTCTGACAGCGATACTGTAAAAAAGGACACAATCTGTGACTGACTTGTCCTAACAGTGCCTCCTCCCAATGTGCCGTGACTGTCTGTCCTTGTTTGAATTGCGGATCGAAACATCTGTACTGTTGGAAGTGTCTGGCACCATTTTGGCATTGAGTTGAAAAGTTGACTTGAAAAAATAAGAAGATAAACAGAACTAAAGCCCTTGGAAACAACGGAAAACTGTGAACAGATTTAGATTGAATTCTGTACAGAATTGTTTACTGCATACACACTTGAATGCAGTTTAGTCCATGTTTGATTGTACCTCTCTCTGTGAAAATATGTATTGTCTTTAGGCATTACAGATGTCTGTACATTTTGTTTTGGTAATCACTCCACTTATTAAGTGTTTTAGAAAAGCCTTTATTATAGACTTTCCCTACAGTATTTACACCATCTTTATTACACACAAACTGTATATTGATAATACCCTAGGGTCTATGTAACATTCCCTGTATTGTAAATGCCTAACTACTGTAGGCCTACATGAATATGTACAGTACTGTGGATTTAACCACTGTATTTGATTATACATTTACTTTTAAACTTTTTTGTGTGTAACCAGAAATGTGAAAAGCACATATAGTTGACTTTGTTACTAACACAGAATTGTACATTATTATAAAAACATCTCCTTTTCAAGTGTCCCCCCAAAAATAAAAAATAAAATAATAATAATAATTTGTAATATGGCAACTACTGTCTAATCATAATAATACTACTAATAATAAAATAATAATACTAATAATACATACATACATATTTACAAATGTCTGTTTGTTCTTAACATTTGAAAAAGGGCTTTCTTAAATTCACTGTGTGATTTAAATGCCCTGATTGCTATAGGTAAATTATTCCATTCAGTTGGGCCTTTGTATCTGAAAGATCTTGCTCCAACCTCATGATGTACCCTTTGAATATGTAATTGCTACTGTTGTCGAAAGGAGTAGTGTGAGTCTTGTAAAGTTAGGTGTTCCTACAGGGAAATGTAAGCTGATACATTGAAAAATAAATAGGTATCAATGCAGTTTCTTCTGTTTGGGAGTGACAGACAATTTAGTGATTCATACATTGTGCAATGATGTGTCTTTTAATGGCATCCAAGAATGAATCTGCAAAGATTGTTATAAATCTAATTCACAAGGTAAGGTCTTGGTTGTGTTTTGATAGATGATGTTGCCATAGTCTAGAATAGGAAGCAGCAGTTGTTTTTTAAGGTCTTTCTAATGGATACAGTAAAACAATTATTGTGTAGTAACCCAAGCTTATAGTTAATTGTTTTTCTAATATAATCAATGTGCTTTCCAAAAGATAATTCAGAATCTATCTTCAAACACAGATATTTCAAGCATTGGTCCATCACTTGCATGAATTTTGAAATTGCCAGCTGTGAAGTTTATTATTTGCCGTCAACCAAACAGCATGATATAGGACTTTGTTTTATTTAAAACCAAATTATTTGCTAGAAACCATTTTTGTAAAGTGTTAAAATCATCTTGGAGAGTTGCTTGTATCTGGAAAATATTTTAACCTGATGTGTAGAGCGCTGTATCATCAGCGTATAAGTGAACATGTGTATTCTGACGAATTAGAAACAATTCATTTATGAATATAGAGGAAAGGGGGGCCAATACTGAGCCTTGAGGTGCACCTTTAGGTAGCATGTTGTACAGCAAATACAAACAAGCAGAAGATAATGTACTGTAGCTTTAACACTGTTACCTGTTAATTTGTTGCCCATAGTTTGCAACTTTGCATACAGTATACTGTACATAATAAAATTGATTTCTGTGTGTATTTTATTGCAAGATAACCAATGGAAGCTTTCCCTGGGCCTATTTGTAACAGACCCAATATGTTCTTATGTCTGGCTAGATTTGATTATATACCGCATCAAAACCATTAAAAGGAGATAGGTACTGAACAGAAACCTGCAGACAATGTAAGACTGACATAAGCAACCAACGAAATGGCAACCAACTGACTGAAAAGGTCACACGTTTCCGCTTGACCTGACTACCTTGATAGCATTGTTACGTGCCCATTTTGGCCTTGCAGTCCTCTCATTGATAATTGTTATACTGTTCAGTGACTTTATTATATCATAGGTAAAACATAGTGTATGTACTGCAGCTCCCCAGTAAGACAGCCCACCAATATCTCATGACTGATTTGTGATCAGTTCCACTATGACTCGACAAGGAGGCACATTCAGAGGGGTTGGGTTAAATGCGGAAGACACATTTCAGTTGAATGCATTCAGTTATAGAACTGACTAGGTATCCCCTTTCCCTTTCTTTAGTCTTCATATAAGAAGAGAAAACACTCAATTTAAAAAGTATACACCAAGCACTCTCCCTACTTGCTCACACAAGTTTTCAGCATTCTTTTAGGCTGACAGACCGTTTGGCTACTCTCAAATGCTTGCTTACGAGCCCCTTCCTAATGACGCAGATTTTAAATAAAGAAAAATACAAATAGTAACACAAGAGGAATAAAATACACAAGAATGGAGCTATATGCAGGAAATACCAATACCAGATCAATGTGCAGGGGTAAGAGGTATTTCCGGTAGATATGTACATGAAGGCTGGGTAAAGTGACTAGGCATCAGGATAGATAATACGAGTAAAATAGAGAACAGAGTAGAGAACAGAGTAGCAGCAGCATATGAGTGTAAAAGTGTGTGTATGTGTGTGTGTGTGTGTGTGTGTGTGTGTGTGTATTTGTGTTGTGTCAGTATGCGTGTGTGTGTGTGTGTGTGTGTGTGTGTGTGTGTGTGTGTGTGTGTGTGTGTGTGTGTGTGTGTGTGTGTGTGTGTGTGCGTGCGTGCGTATGTAGTGTATGTGAATGTGAATGTGTGTGGGTTTTGTGTGAGAGTGTCAGTGTAGTGTGTGTATATAGTGTGTATACATAGTCTTGTGAGTGTGCATAGAGTCAGTGCAAGATAGGGCCAGTGCAGATAGTCCGGGTAACCATTTAATTAACTACTTAGCTTTAACCGTTCGATGGGGAAATAGAACCCAGCATAACAGGTGTCATTTTTGGTACGTCAACAACAAAAAAGGTGAAATAAAAAAATATATATCTAAGAATGTGATTTGGAAGAATGTGTGATTCCCACAGGAAATTAAACTAAGGATAAGAAGAGGAATAGTGAAAATGGGTGGAGAGTAGTCATCTCCCTGAGGATCAAAGAACTGAGGGAAGCAGTTCTGGTCTGACAGCAATAGCCAGTAGCCTAAATGAGATTGGTTGGGAAAGTGTTTTTGATGTCAAACTGTGACAGGTATTGTACTCCCTGCTAGCGATGCATGTTCAATAGACAGGACTACAGTATAATTTCCACCCATACCATTCCACCAACTGGGCACACACTGTTTTAATAACATTAAGTTGAACCAATGTGGAATGGACGTTGAATTGACGTCTGTGCCCAGTGGGAAGCCTCACTGTGTGTGTTCTGCAGCGATAAAAATAAAGAGACATTCAAGTCATTCTAAGTAAACACTGACAGAGTAATGCAGGTGGGAAGATGAAACTCTTGTTGATGATGACAGTGGTGCTGTTCAGGGGCAAAATTATGATGATTTTGCATTGAAAATATTGATCTTGTTGCTATGGGGACTCCACAGCAAACAGTTCTTCTAAATATACACTACCAGTCAAAAGTTTTAGAACGCTTACTCATTCAAGGGTTTTTCTTTATTTTTACTATTTTCTACATTGTAGAATAATAGTGAAGACATTAAAACTATGAAATAACACATATGGAATCATGTAGTAACCAAAAAAGTGCTAAACAAATCAAAATATATTTAAATTTGAGATTCTTCAAATAGCCACCCTTTGCCTTGATGACAGCTTTGCACACTCTTGGCATTCTCTCAACCAGATTCATGAGGTAGTCACCTGGAATGCATTTCAATTAACAGGTGTGCCTTCTTAAAAGTTAATTTGTGGAATTTCTTTCCTTCTTAATGCGTTTGAGCCAATCAGTTGTGTTGTGACAAGGTAGGGGGGGTATAAAGAAGATAGCCCTATTTGGTAAAAGACCAAGTCCATATTATAGCAAGAACAGCTCAAATAAGTTACCAGCCTCAGAAATTACTGCCCAAAAAATTGCTTCACAGA